TTGTTTGTTATGCATTTATTCAAGATTTACCACGAGTTGGTTGCTGGTAACGGGTAAGCCATTGGTTGTTAGTACAGTGATGCTGTTGATTTTGCACTGTTTATGATTCCTAGGTTCACAAGTTCCATCGTCAAATTATAGCATCTGATGAGGTAGATGAAATTATGGTAGGGGCACCTGTCCTAAATCAGCCCCTTAAAGTCTTGATAGCACAGCAAAATCCCATCATCAAAGCCCAAGAAATCGATTTCAATCTCAAAGAACAAGAATGTGTATCCCTTATAAAAACGTGCAAGAATATGCTAGAATTCAAGAAAGTCCACGGCCAAATCCTAAAGCTGGGATTTTTCTGGAGCCCATTTGTTGCCAGCAATCTTGTAGCCACCTGTGCTCTAGCAGAATGGGGCAGCATGGATTACGCCTGCTCGATTTTTCAAAAAATCGAAAACCCGAGCTCGTTCGAGTTTAATGCCATGATTAGAGGCTACACAAAGGATATGAACTCAAAAGAAGCAATTCTTATTTATCTTGATATGCTTGAGGTTGGTGTCGAGCCTGATAATTTCACGTACCCTCCCCTGCTTAAAGCGTGTTCAGTTCTATCAACTGCTGAAGAAGGTAAACAGATTCACGGGCACATTTTAAAGTTTGGATTATTTGAGGATGTGTTTGTGCAGAATAGTTTGATAAGCATGTATGGAAAATGTGGTCTTTTGGGAAATTCTTGTGATGTTTTCAGTAAAATGGATTTCAAGACAGTTGCTTCGTGGAGTGCACTTATTGCGGCTCATGCGAATTCGGGCATGTGGGCCGAGTGCCTGAGGCTGTTTTCTAACATGATTGGGGAGGGTTCTTGGAGGGCCGAGGAAAGCACTTTGGTCAACGTCATTTCTGCCAGTGCTCATTTAGGCACGCTCGATTTCGGCAAATGCACGCACACATATCTGCTTAGAAACTTGAGCGGACTAAATGTTGCGGTCGAGACTTCCTTAATGGACATGTATTTAAGGTGCGGAAGTTTGGATAAAGGGATGTCCCTTTTTCGCGAAATGGGCCCGAGAAAGAATCGCAAGTCTTATAGCGTGATGATTTCTGGACTCGCGAGCCACGGCCAAGGTGAAAAAGCTCTGGTTATTTTCGAGCGAATGTTGGAAAACGGGCTGAAGCCCGATGACGTTACTTATGTGGGGGTCCTAAGTGCTTGCAGCCATGCTGGTTTAGTCGAGACGGGCTTGAAGTATTTTGACCGAATGAAATTTGAGCACAAGATAAATCCCACAATGCAGCATTATGGCTGCATGGTCGATCTAATGGGCCGGGCTGGGCTGGTTCATGAAGCTTTGGAGCTCATCAAGGCCATGCCCATGGAGCCCAACGATGTTATATGGCGTAGTCTTCTAAGTTCTTGCAAAGTTCATAAGAATTTGGAAGTAGGGAAGTTGTCAGCTGAAAAATTGTTCGAACTGAACACACAAAACGCAGGCGATTATGTAATGATGTCTAATATCTACGCGCAAGATCAAAGATGGCAAGATGTGGCCTCGATTCGGGTTAAACTGGCTAATGACGGTTTGAACCAAGTGGTTGGATGGAGCTCGGTCGAGGTCAAGGGGAAAATTCACAAGTTCGTCTCGAACGACAAATCGCACAGCGACTTTCGGGAGATTTACGAGATGATTCACCAAATGGAGTGGCAATTAAAATTCGAGGGGTACTCACCGGACACGTCTCAAGTGTTGCTTGATGTTGGCGGGGAAGAGAAGAGGGAGAGACTGAGTTTACATAGTCAGAAGCTGGCGATTGCGTTTTCGCTAATTCGTGTTTCCGAGGGGAGTCGTATAAGGATAGTGAGGAACGTTAGGATGTGTAGTGATTGTCACACGTATACGAAACTAATTTCGGTCATCTATGGGAGAGAGATTGTCGTGAGGGAACGAAATGTGTTCCATTGTTTTAGAGATGGGGCTTGCTCTTGTAAAGACTTCTGGTGAATGTGTACATATCAAGATGTTGATTTTTTTTTTTAACTCTGTCTTGTTTTGGTGTTTTCATGTTATGTTAGGCTCTTTTGCTGCAGTTTGTTGATTTTTTCATCAGCGTTTTGAGGAAAAAGAGAGAAAATACATATGATGATCAATGGAAGTTAAAAGTTTTTTCAAGTGTACTATCTATCATTCGTTATTAGAACTGCCATTGTGCTATAGAAACTTGAGTGGTTGAAAATTTAGGGTATGGTTGTTTATTAAATAATTTGTTCACATTTATTTCATACTCAAAATCTAACCCAATCCTAATGTTCTTAATATTATATAATAAAATAATATAAACAAATAATTGTTACACATCATATCAAGTTTAATTCTTTCACTAACATAATTTTAACTACATATTATTTTCAATCATTTTCAATCAGTTATCTCATACTTTTAATTTTACATCAAATCAATAATAATCATTTTATTTTAAATATTATTGTAACACTCTTAAAATCCACTAACAATTAACTAAATATCACATTTTTCATAATTAATTCTGAATAACCATATAACTTATTTTGAATGAATTATTTGATAAACAAGCGAGCCAGTAAAATACAAACAGTAACTATACTAGTACAACACCCGTGTATTACACGGGTGCTTGCTAATTTTTTTTCTTAAAATTTAAAATTAATGAGAAAAAGTAGTTTGAAAATTTAAATACCTTTATAAGAATATATATATTATTATATATTTATTATAATACTTTTTATTTGTGTGACTTACTTGTGTTATATTATATTAAATTTTTAACTTACAATATATAACTACATTAAATATAAATATACCAATTGAGAAATAATTTTATTTTTCTAATTAATTTTAATAAATATTATTATTTTTTATTATTATAAATATAAATATAATTTATTTATTTTATACATTAACTATATTATATTTCCTATTATTATATACGTGATATATAAAGCGCAAACTTTTTTCTTCAATCCTTTATTCTTCATCTTTAAGTTAAATTATAAATAAATTTAAAGGTTAATAATTAATTTGATATATTATATATGTAAAACCGATAAGAAATACAAAAGTTATCAACTTTTAAAATACATTTATAATTCAATAGCTTATTGAAGAAAGCAAATCAAAATTTAGAGATATATTAGTCACTTAGTGCTTCACTATGTAAAATTACAAATAATTAAAAGGTTATATTAGTAAAAGTGATATTAAAATACCTAAGTTAGCTAAATAATATTTTCGAAAATTATATATAGGGAGGATTATAAAACTTAAATATAAAATACAATACAAAAAACATAACAAACTAATCAACCTCTTCTTGAAATTACTCGATCAACTCAATCAACAAAAGGAAGTTGACATAACAAAATATGGCCCACTCATGACCATAAACAATTCAAATTTGCAATAAAATAAACACAACTCAACCACAAAGAAAACTAGTTCAACTGGATTATTGAATACATTCCCAAGTTAAAAATCCAAGTCAGACAACAAAGACATGTAGTTACTATAAACAAAGCAAACTCAAACGTTAAATAGGCACACTCAAACTTAAAACCACCAAAAAAACCCCTCAGAGTTTGCACTGCAATTGTTCACTAGCAGCCGCAACTCACAGTGATGGCCTTACATGTAATTTAACATCTATTCGATAGGTTACAGTCACTTGCCATAGTTAATAGGCAAAACGAGGATTAAAGATATTTCACCATGCCACGACCCTCGACGCTCAGCTTTGTAGCCTGTAGCTGCTTCCTCTTTGGTGCTTTCAACTGCTGCAACTTCTTATTCATCTGCGTCATAGAAAGGGGTTTCGAACAAGAACCGCATATATTTAATACACAAGTCAAAATCAAGAGTGATTGGTCATTGTATGTTAAAGAACTTGCAAGGACTAATAAACCCACTCGACGGCCATTGCTCAGAACACGTGATACAAAATGAAATATTACAGCCCTTGCAAGAAAAAAAAATTGAGTGCAATACCAAACAGCATACTATTATCTAAGTTCTCCTACAAGAAACAGTTGCTAATAGTTTGACAGTAACATCAGTTGATTCCTTTTGAGCTGAATTAATGCTTGCACATGCTAATAGGCCATTTCTGAGAAAAGGAAGCAAAACGGAGAATTTTTTATTCTTATGATCAACAAAAACAACCTATTTCTCAATTATTAAGGCTGAGGGACTCATAGCACATCAATAGAAATGTTATCAAAGAAATGCAAGTGATGGCTAGCAGGATAGTTTTGATAACTAGCGCTACATTCATTCACTAAACTTTTGAAATGATGAAAGCTCACGAGGAGAAGTATGTGAAACGTCACAAGTGAGATCACGTGCACATAGATACAAATGTAAACTAAAAGAATCGAGGAGAGAAAGAACAAGTCGTTCGTATTGGCGTATATCTTTGTCCTACAAAGGCCCATGATAATATCAAAATGCCAACAGTTGCCACCAGCTCTTGGGGAACTTATTTTATCATATGGGACTTGTTTTGTAAGGGGAAAGACAACCGACCTTAGCCCGACGTGGGTCTTGTACCATCTGTTTAGACCGGGCCCGAATTTCATCTGGATCAACCTTAGATTGAGGGCGCACCACAAAATCCATAGACATTGCTTCTGGCCTCGAAGCATGCTGCCTAGAAGATGACTGCCCAGATTTTGAACCCCTATAATGCAAAGGCAGAGTGAACTTAGATGTATAGTGCATTACCTACAAACATTAGATATAACTAACCCAAATTTATATCAAAATTCTTACTGGGAAAGTTTGGCCAAATCAAGGTCATCATCTTGAGATGACATTCCTGCTGCTTTATTGACCCTGTAAAAGATTCACAAAGCCATTGTGTTAGTGTGCAGATAGATTTTTTGACAAATATTCAGCAGTCTTGTAGTAAAGGAAATATACATACCTCTTAGTGGGCGGCCTTCTCAAAGCCCTCTCATCCTCAAAGTTTTTCATGTCCTCAAACCTTGTACTCTTATTGAAAATTGGCCGGCTCTGAATGAATAACATTTTGATATGAGTTATTACAAATGCATAGACAGACAGACAGACTAAATTATTCTCAATTAACATTTCGAAGTTCTCAAATTGATCCAGTAAGAAAGGATTACTAACTTACTGATCATTAACAAAGACTTTCCGTACATAGACCAACATTTGAATAATATAAATGACATTGAGTTCTCTATCATCCTAAAAAGGCTATCAATAATTACAACAATGGACTATTACAATTCTTTCTGTTTTTATGCAACAAAATATCAAAAGAAAAATCTATCAAAAACTACAACGATGCACCAGAACATTTTGCTTTTTATTCATAAAAAATATCAAAGAAAGACAGCAATCAATAATCCACTCCCCCGCCCCCATAGATACCAAAGAAGGAAACACAGAGAAAAAGATTACACCGAATGTGTAAGCTTTTGGTAAGCGGAAAAAATAAAATAACAAAAATATACAATTACCCATTTATCAACCAACTCTTTAGCCAGTTTCCTGTTGGATGTCGTCTCCTCATCAGATTTTGACAGGAACATAATGACCTACCCAAACTCAACTGTCAGCATTATTTCTATTACAAAATAAAACTGGAAATAATGAAAATAAATGACTGCAACATCAAGCACACTCTGACCTTCCCAAGTCCACTCTTCTTTAACTGTTCTCTCCGATCGTACTGCTCCAAATCAATTGGAAACTACAGGGCAAGAAAAGAATATTAAGTTCTAATCATTTTTTTTTAACTTGAAGAAATTATTAGAAGGTATTATTATATTATGAGACACCCTATTCCTACATCATTCAGAATCTTCAAAACTGCAGCTCGAATGTTTATATTTGGCAAGCTTCCATCAGGTAGTGGCTCAAGCCAGTTCTTTAAGAGCGTCAAAACTCCATGATCTAGAAATTCATGCTGAAGCTGCTTTCTACATAAAAAGTCGTCATGCAAGCAAATACGGGCAATACAAACGATCGTGTATGGAACTGAAAACAAATAAAGAACAAACAACTAACTTTGAGAGGACATCTTCAAGAAGAGAAAGTTTCCTCAATTTATTTATTGCTGGCTTTCCCTGCCTATTTAGCTCAGCGTCTTCTTCCGCCACAACTTCTAATTCAGCCATGACATTTTCAACCAGCAAAGCAACTTCTGCAGCACTTTTTTCATTTTTCTTCTTCTTCTTGCCCATCTTGAAGAGTTCCTTAATTTCGTCATCCTCCTCTCCTTCTTCAGCCTGAGAAAATGCCAGAATTAAACCAAGTGAGTACTCAAATCCCATTAACTTTTAGAAATCAAACTGCAACTCTGGAATACACACAACAGAACCAGAATTCTGTACAACTTAAGTCGGAGATGATAACTTATAAACACATAATTATTTTTTAAGAAACCCTTATTGACAGACAAATTCTTTAAGTCTTCATTTATTCTTGGTTATAGTTCAGAGGAGATCAATTGAAGTTATGTCGTTATGTCTGCAAGTGCAAGTTGGGACTATGTGTTTGGGGTGGGGGGAAGACATATACAACGGACAGAGATACATTAATCAAAATGACCTAATAGGTCTACGGACATGGCACTCAGATTTCAGTTAAAGAACTTCCAGGAATAAACATTCAATCATTATGTTTCCAATATACAAATCCCATGAAAATCAATATCAATCATGTAAAATACATGTCACATTCATTCTCAGTGCAAAACCCAAAGGAAAATGGATGGAGATAAAATGGTGACGATGAGAATAAATAATGATACAACCTTCCTCATCCGTCGTCGACTCATCATCGGAGGATTACAAAACTTAACTTTGCCTGTCATATTGAGGAATAGAGAATAGAGGAAAGAGAGATGTGACTGAAGTGAAAGATAAAGGGGATATTATGCAAGATAGGGAAGGAACACAAACAGATATTTCCTTGGGGCTAGATTTTCAGTTGCCACGTCTTTTTATCATTAAAAAATGAAAAATTAAAGACTAAACCAATAAATAACCTAAATCCAATATGTAAATCATGAAATAATAAAGGTCATTTAAAAATATCTAAAATCAAATATGTAAAATCATGTAAATCCGAAAAAAGCAACGTACAGACAATATTTTTTACTTAACGGAATCATATATGACTGGGAGAAATAAACCAACAAAAGTATCCTTTACAAGTATCTGTATACATGTAACATATATTTATAAATGTATATCTGGTCTAAAAGAACATATATATTACATCAATGGTAGATATTATGGTCAAGAAAGACATTGCAAGAAATAATATGTATATTTATATATCTATTTATGTACGTTGGAAACAGAGCAACTAACCCCATAAAACACAAATTCGAAAACACTGTCAAAAAAGGGAAAAATAGATGTCAATGATCAACTGAATTCTGGACAAGCAATGAAAGTAATTTGGGCCCTTATATTGGCTTAACACCTTGCCCGATAGAAGTGTTTTGGAAAAACTAAGAAGAATTCGCACCTAAAAAAAATCTTTATGAGTGAGAACTAAATGTTATAATATGTTACAGATAGACACAGAAGTGGTGGGCCTTATATTTCCATCAATTTTGAGGCGTTCAAAACGAAAGGTGAGTGAACCATCAGTATTGCTTGTGTAATGAGAGTACATAGTGATACACACTACTTGAGCAAAATTTATAAACTCCAATAATAGATAGAAATCAACACATGAAGAAATTCATACAGTTGGACTTCTTTGTGTTACAAATACTAATTGGACAATTGACATTCTGTTTTGATCTGAGAAAATTACCTAGCTGAACGTTTTAGCATATAATAATGCCAGCACAATTTCTCTCTAAAGACATTATGAACTCTGAGGATCAATCAGGCAGTAAAAGAAAGAGAAATCAAATAAAATAACAAGTTGAGACATAGGTTAAGTCAGAGCATCAAGTTTAGTTCCAATCATGTAGATTGTAGATAATCAAACTATATTTGGAAGCTCTACAAACATATTTTATAAAGAGTGAACAATACACATGCTTGCCCTAAATGACTTAAAATAGCCATAGTCACAGTGTCATCTGCAAACTTCTGAATAAGCTTTAATGCGGCTCCCGTTATTATCATGACAGGTGCCAAATCTAACAAGGCATCAGTCTTTTAATGCAGTCATATCAACCCAATAAAACTTTGCCGTGAGATTGAAGAAAGATGAGCTACTGCTTATATCGAAGATTATGGTAAGTTAGAAGCTAGTATTTAGTACAAGTAAAAATCTTGTTCATTAAAATATCATATAAGTCTATTAACCAATCCATAATACGATAAAATCCAAACCTGGGGTGCGCGACTTGGGGAATGTTCATTGTCACTTCCATAATGGTGAGCAGGGTCCACACCACTGTCATCTATGAAGTTATCATCATCCAGAGTCCTAACACCGTCTTGGTCATCCTATAAATTGGAGGAAAAAAAAAACAACTACAAATGTTGGATGCAGATGTTGAAACACAGAAATAAATTATATCCATTGGACATGTGTTTCTTCAATAACATTACTATAGTAGGAACACGATTTTTTTCTCTCACTAAAATAAAAAGAAAACGAAGGAAACAACTTAATCTGCGGAGCAATTGAAGATGTCAAAGGAGATATAACAGGTACCCCAACACACCACAAGAGCCACTGTGATAATAGAGATAACATAACATCTAAACTTAGATGATCTGGCAACAGCATCACCAAATACAATCTACTCAATCACCATATGAACCCCAGAACTCTCGTGGAACCATGTGAAATATCTGCCATCCTATAAATCTCTACTCAGAAGTGAGGAATGACGACAACCTGTTAATGTAGATAGTCTTTGTCTAAGGCATCAGCACTTCAATTAGAAGCTTTATGAAAATAGTTCTATGAGTCAATGGACAGTTCAGTTAACACCCAAGCATCAGATTATTCAGCTACACCATCAGAAGATGACCGAAATAATATGCAACAGAATAGACCACCCGCATTTTTTTACTCAACTGTTCTTAGTCTTCCCTCATTCAAGCCTCAACAGTTCGCTAAACTGACTTCTTCACAATTGGCAATAATACCTTTTCCTTGGACAGTAAATAAAATTATTGGGAGAAAAAACGGGTAGTTACACCTTAACACTAAACGATAAATTCTGGCCACATATTATTTCTATCACCGATATCACATGTCTAGTGCATCAACAAAACCATATGTCATCCACCCAAAATAAAAAAATTTAACTTCATATTCCCATTTGTCAATGGAGAATGGATCTGGATTCCCAAAATATCACAAAAGTGTGTAACTGGCACTTCTAAAAGTAAAACTTTATCCAGCAATCCACGTATTTTTTTCAAGCCCTGGAAACTTCTTACAAAATATCCCAAAAGAAAAAATGTAATCCCTAGCATGGTTCACCAATAAATGCAAACAACAAATAAATCCATATGAAACCAATGTCATATCCAACAACAATAATACACACATGCATAGCGACGAACGGACAACACACAGCTTCACCAAATTTTCGTAGATCTTTTGCCTTTATAACGAAAGTCCAAAAATCAGATCAACATATTCACAAATTCAACACCAAATTACACGCAACGCTAAAACGCTCATACAATACCCTTCAACAGTCGAACAAAACACATAAAAGCAGCCCATAAATGCAAAATTCAGGCATCCTCGTGAAAGAGAGGGAAAAAATGCAACCATAAAACCAACAAAAAGTAAAGCGAACCTCAGAGTCACCACCAGCGACCGTGTCCCACATCTCCTTTGTCTCAGGATCGGCCACCTGATCCCTCATTCTCCCTCCTTCACTCTTCCTCAACTTGATCTTAGCCTCCATCCTCTCCCCCTTCCTCTTCTTCTCCAGGATTTTCAACTTATCCCCTTTGTCCTCTTTCCTCTTCGAGCCATCCGAATAGTTTTCTCTTGCAATCCCAACTTCATCAACATCATAATCCTGGCCAACATCACCTGTGTCGTCATCCAATCCAAAATCCACCGGACCCGATTCGATACCGGACGAAGATTTTTTTATCAGTCTCTTCCTGGGCTTCGACTTAGAGTCATCGTACACTGGAGTCGGGGATCGCTGAGCACGATCATACCCTGCACCATCCACATCATCCAGGAAATCCTGATGCGGCTCATCCCCATCTGATTGGATATCCTCATCAAAGTCCATCAATGGCTCGCCATCCTCATCACGGTAACTACATACACATTCAGAAAACCCTAACTCAAATTCACACACATGCACATAGAAACGAAAACCAGACTGAAAAGCCTAATCACATATCAGAAAAATGCCCTAGTTTCAAACACAGAAACGTGAATCACACAGAAAAAACCGAGTTAAAAATTCAATTCAATTAGAAATAAATCATGAAAGCCCGATACATGAACTTACGGATCATTATCATAGCCCATGATTGATTTCTGGAATTAACTTTGTGCTCCGGCGGAAGTGAACAAACAAGGGTAACAGAATCCCAGAATCAATCGGAGGCAATCGATTTTGGCAATAATTTGACGGTAAATTCTTACAGAATCAATAAAAAATGGAGTAATAAATTAAACTTGTCGGTTTGAAAAATCGCGGGCCTGCGTATAATAGTACAGTTGTTATTCGGGAACCGGCAGCACTTTTGACTCGACAGTATTAGACTATGTTTGGTAAATTAGCTGATAAGCTAGTTTATAGCTTATCAATAATTTTTGAGCTTATAGTTTGTAACTTATGAATTATAGCTGAAAAGTTAACTTATATGATAAAAATGTTTGGTAAAATTATCTGATAAACTAGCTAAAATAAAAAATTTAACTAGCTTATTTGAAAAGCTACCTAAACAAGCTTATCAAATAAGCTCGAGCTTTTTAAATAAGTTTGTCCTACCAAACAGAGCTATTTAAATACGAAAAACTTATAAGTTAATCAAATAAGCTATAAGCTAGCTTATTGGTTTACCAAACATAACATTAATGAGTTAGAGCCACATTTCTTGGCCGATAGACGGGTGTATTCAATTTCAACTTTTAGATTTTTTTAAGACTTTTAGAATTTTGAGGTATTTAGTTATAACTTTTAAAGACTTCTCAAAAGTTTTCCTGTGTTCAATTGAGACTTTTAACGACTTTTAATAAGTCTCTAAAAGTCTCAGGGTATTCAATTAAAATATTTTCAGAGTCTTTATAAGTCACCCGGTATTCAAAATAGAAAGACTTGGTGAGGCTTTTTAAATTTTGAGACTTTTAGAGACTTTGTAACAAAATTACAAAGGAAAAGTCTCAACAGAAATCTCATCAATATTGGTGAGATTTTACTAAACTTATGTGACTCTTTTCACGCTCTTCTTTTTTTCTAACATGACTTTGTATCTCATATCATTTTCATGTTCTATTATTTACTTATTTATTTTGATACCTTGTGTAATTTTTATTTTCATTACATAATGTGATCTTTTTATTTTATATATTTTCTATTATGCTTATTTTATATATATACCTTTATTCTCTCATTTTGCAATCTTGTGAATTTGACTTTTCAAAGGTTATTGTTTCCATGATTGCACTTGCAAATAATTTATTTGTTCTTTCTTTTTATTTGTAAATGTTTGTTTCAAAATATTAAAAAAAAAATATTTTATTTTCAAATAGTTTATTTGTTAATATTGAAATGTTTTGAATACTATTGATAATTTTATAAGATACAATTACTGTTTTTTGGCAATGTTTGTATCTTGTAAAAATATATCCTAATAATATTTTCTGAATATAACAACATTATGCAAAAAAATATAAAAAGTAGAATCAATCAATATTTAGATAAATATATCTTAATTTGGGTTGATTATAAGTATCGTTATAGCAGAGATGTCTAACGCATATTTGAGCTTGTACTCTTTTAACAAACAAATATAAGGCCCTGCTCGATTCTACTCGTTGAAGCTGATCGATTTACTAGTTTAATATATCTAAAATCCTAAACAATTTGCTCTTGAATAACTCATTTCGCATAAAAATGAGTTTATTCATAAAATTTTAGAGGATTAATATATACAACATCTTTATTTTCATTTATTCTTGTTTATATTACTTATTATGTTACATTTATTAATATTTTATTCAAATATAAAAGTCTCAATAAGTTTTAAAAAGTACATTATGAAAGTCTTAAAAAGTCACTAATAAAAATTCTCTTAAAATCTCAAAAAGTCCACAAAGTCATGAAAGTTCTACAAAGTCCACAAAAGTCATCAAATTTAAAAGGTTGTAAAAAGTTCTTAAAAATCTCAATTGAATACACCCTCTTAATAAACATGTTTGAAACTCTTTTACTGTGATAACATTGATGAATTTTGATCTTGAGAGTTGCATTTCATAAACATTATATTGATAAACGCCAATTTCGCTATAGAGTAATGTTGACTTGGAATCGATCGAATAATTTTCACTCTCAGGCTCAATACTCGTTGGCTGAGCTCAATTTTGACAACTAACTTGATTTATCGTAATCTTGATCTCTCTTACTCTTTTTCGAATTTGTGTCAAATTGCTCCAACCATCTTATATCCTTCGAAATCTTTGTGATAAGCTGATTGTGAGTGTGGTGATGATCTCCCTTGTGTAATCAATCATGTCATTCGAGAGACGTGTTTTGGGTTTCGTGTACGAGCGGTTTCGGGCTGAGCTTTGTGCGTCGGTCGGTGGTGCTATCGCTGGGCTTGTAGAGCCGAAGTTATTGTGGTCACGAGTCTAGTGATCGGTTCTTTGGTGACTCATTCGAGAGGGTTTGATGAAGGCGGCTGAGCGTGGTCGTATTCGGCACATCGTCGTGACTTTCGAGCTCTCGTATTCGAATACGGTGAAGGGTGTATCCGTTCTTATTTACTTTTCAGCAGTTTCAAAGTATGTGTGTTATTTAATTTCTTAAATTTCATAAATTTTACTATATTTGGCTAATTTTTTGTTTCAGCTTGAAACGAAGAGATCGGGGCTTGTTCGGGACCAACCAGGTGTGGATCGTGACCAATTGGTGCTCTCTGGGATCAAACGAAGATTGTCCTGGATTAACCAGAGGTCGTTCGGGACCAAACGAGCACTTAAATTTAGCTTGGACTTCTGTGTGTTGGGTTCTGTTAGGAACGTCAACAACATGCACGTTTGAATTTGGCAAATTAAACACTAACACAGTGGATTAAGGCTAGGAAATTACCGTTTAAATTTTTTACCGACTTTGAGACGTTTCTGATTTCCGTTGATGGGGATCGTCTGAATACCAGAGTCAGATGGACTGCCGGACTTGGCCTTTCTAGATCATAATCGAGTCACTGAAACACAAACGAATCACTGGATCGGGCTCGGGCCAGTTGGATCAACTTCGGTTCATCGAGTTGACTCGGTCGGACTCGGTTGGGCTTGGCTGGGCTCACTCGGGCCCGATCGCTGGTGCGTCTCGGGTCTGGTCTATGCACGCGAAGGGGCGATCTTGCACAGGCGGGTGCAGCCCGCTGGCGAGGCGCATCGCGGAAGAACCCTAATTCCCAAATTTGGGATTCCAGCTCAGATGTGTGTAAGGATTTTGAAAAACTCAATCCATGGGTAGATTCGGTCAGAAGCATGGTTATTCAGAAAAACGGCAAAATTACAGGGCTAATTAATCACAACAGAGGGGCGACTCACATGTGTTGTTGCTCGTTTTTTCTTCGCCGGTGACATTACTGAAGCATTGCCGGTGCTCTCGGTACTGACGTCAATCGTCGTTGTTGCGTGGTGGCTCCCAAGCTCTAGGAAGTTGATGGTCTGTAGTGGAAAAGGTGGTTCTGTGGATATTTTTCCACAAAATGCAGGGTTCATTTATGGTGGTGAGGGAACCTTGAAACCTCGATTAAGGCAGATGATGTGAGATTTTTTTCAAAATAATGGATCTGATGGTACGTAATGAGCTATAAATTTACCGCTGTTATGGCCCACAAAAAGTAAACGCAAAGCTAATAAATGATAAATAAACAATACAACAGTTCTGAGTAATTATTTCGGACCGAGAGAATTTTGTAAGGAGTTTACCCGTTGACAAACACATAGCAAAAAAAGACGATAAAAAAGACCTTTCAAAAGCGGAATTGTCCATACATCACGAAACGTGTGGCTTCGGCTGCTCCCAGGAGATGATAATATCGCTTTCTTTCAACAACCCCTACTGAGCTTGTTACGTACGAACGTAGCGACTCTTCGGATGAGCGAGTTTCGAAACTGGAACAGTACCTTCTCTATTACGGTTTTGCATGCATAGAAATGGCGTAACGAGAGAATCTTTAACCACAAAACGCTTAGTAGTGAAGCTCGACGGCTGGACATTGTGAACTTGGTTGATAGTTATGCACGTGCCGAAGCTGCATACGTGAAGGTTGGGTCCGCGTTATATGTTACAAGTATGATTTATTGGATCCCACCGGAACCGGGATGGATTAAAGTGAACGCTGATGGTGCATTCGATAATCTCACGGGCCTGAGTAGTGTGAGTGGCTTGC